GTTCCCAGGGTCTGATCCTGACAAGACCCTTCCCAGCTGCAGGTCGTGGACCTGGATTTCTCACCTGTCTCAGTTTCAACTTCTCCATCTACAAAACTGGTGACTTGCCCTCCTGGGGTAATAAGCCATATGCTTAGCAGCCCAGAACATGAGCCCTACTGGGGCCCTGGTCCTCAATCCTCAAGGCCCCAGGGAAACTTCAGCCCTTAGCCCCTGATCCCCAAGGTCTGCAGCCCCAGTGGGGTCTCCTGAATTCCTGTCCTGAGTCTGGGAGGCCAGAAAACACTCTCTCTGGGCTGGCTCCATTTTCCTGATGAGGAAAATAAGGCCCACAAACCTTCCCAACACCCCTGGTTGCACAATGGCAGTGCCAAGAGTAGGAGCCTAGACTCCTGTCCCCTTGGGGTAGCCCTTTCCATTGGATTCATAGTGAACTGGCAGATAGGAGAGGGCACAGTGCCAGGAGCTATGGTCAATGAAGTCTCTATTTGCAACTACCCACCTTCCAGGGACATTCCAAGAAATCACCAAGGCATGGGGATGGAGCTGGTAGATCACCCTTGCCTCTAACCACCGCAGAGCCAAATCCTGCTCACACAGAGACACCTGGACTCCCAGAGGACCCAGGGCCACCCCTCGATGACCTCCTGAGCCCCTCCCCATGCCTAGTACCTAAGAGGCAGATCCCACCTGTCGCCTCCCCTGCTTCAAACACTCACAAACTCCCAGCTGCCCGCAGATGGCCCTCCTGCACCTGGCCCCTGCAGGGGACCCCCCACCCCAGCTGTCCTTGAGGAGCCCGTTCCCTAAAGCTGCAGGCAGAGGCCTTACCTCCCTGGACCCACCCTGCCCTCCAGCCCCACCCTACCTGCCTGCTATACCCTGGCCCTTGGTTTTGGTTGCCCTTGGTCTGCTGGCCCAGTACTGGGACATTTCTTACCTGGTACTCTTCGATACCTTTTTACTGTGTGTATATACATCTTTTTACTTTTTACTGTGTGCATATATATCTTAAAGGAGAGGGAAAAACAGCAGAAAACGGATTTGATGCAAACAAGATACAAAATAAAAACCCAAGGTCCTGCCTGGCCCTCCCACGGCTCAGGAGCAGGTGGTGAGGACCAACGGGTACCTCAGGGCCACACCTGTGGGATGCCCCAGCGGCCCTCAGCCCACGTGCCGCACCTGCCGCTGCAGCTGCGCTTCCTTCCTCCCTCCCTGGCCTCATCGGAGGGTGCAGGCCTAACCAAGGTAGGTCCTCATCCTTCCAGCCCGGGGCCAGCCAGGCATCTGAGAATAATGGTGTTTGTTAATCTTTTATGTGGAACCTTGGACCCCAGGCCAGCCCTTCTGTCCTCCCTCCTGGCATTTGCCACACAGCCCCTATACCCTGACCTCACTTGCTGTGGGACCAGGTAACTATGTTCCCTTTTATGCTGGCCGAGGTCATGGGAGAGAGGGTACCCGAGTGACAGCGGCATGCTGATGGACCCAGTCTCACCTGGACTCAATTCCCACCTGCCAGTGAGTCCTTGTGTGACCTCAATCTGGGTCTCAGTTCCCCCAAACGTGAAATGGGAACCCTCAGGAGGAACTTCTCAGTTTAAAGGGGGTGACTTGTGCACATAGAGGTGCTTTAAGAACAGGACCCCCAAGATCCCGGCAGTGGGGACAGGGCCTGGCCCCAGCACTACATGTGGGTGGCCCATAGCCCTGGCTGTGTGTCTTCAGGTAAGTCACCTGCCCTCTCAGAGCCCATCTCCACAGGGAGGGTGGGCACAGGCTTCAGAGCCACTGTGGTCTTACAACCCCCCCAGGCTGGTCAGCATGGGGGCCTCCGGGTGTGGAAAGCACACTCTCTTCCAGAACAGAACTGGGCTAATTCTAAATGAGGAACATGTACCCCCACATCCCTGGTGGAAAACCAAGGGTCCGGGAACCTGTGCCTCTTACCAGCAGCTCTGTCAATGCCAATGGGCAGCAAAAGACCATAGCCAGGCATCATGGGGCGTGTCCACTTTGCTTTGATTTATACAGGCACTCATGGGGTCTTGGTTTCTCCTCTATAAAATGGACACAGCCCAGTCCTGGGGCAGTTGTTCAGGAGTGACGCCAAGATGGCACCTGCAGAGCATGCCTCCTGCTGCCCCTTCTCCAGGCATTTCCAGGGATGCCGGGGGTTACCTCCAGCCACTGGAACCCTGTGTTCCTGGACATTCTCTCAGATCAGAGAGTGCTGGAACTGCCCTGGGAGCAGGGCCAGGGGCTGGCCATGCAACAAACATGATAACTCCCACTCTCTCCCCCGTGCCCTGCTCTTCTCCCCAGGCGCTCACAGAAGAGGGAAGACCCCTGCCTCTAAGGAGGACCAGTCTGTCCGCACTACTGTGCTCTTCATATCTACTCTAGGATAACCAGTGGTAATGGCACATTTTAAACATGTTGGGAAAAACACACACCCTCGTATTACATTTTTGGTTTTTGTTTTGTTTTGAGAAAGAATCTTGCTCTGTTGCCCAGGATGAGTGCAGTGGGATGATTACAGCTCACAGCAGCCTTGAACTCTGGGCTAAATCAATTTTTCCACCTTTCAGACTCCGGAATAGCTGGGATTATAGGCACATGCCACCATGCTTGGCTAACTTATTTGCATTTTTTGTAGATATGGGGTTTCACTATGTTCCCCGGATTGGTTTCGAGTTCCTGGGCTCAAGTAATCCACCCACCTCAGCCTCCCAAAGTGTTGGGATTAGAGGTGTGAGCCACCGCTCCTGGTCACTGCTATTTTAGTGTCAAATTCTCTCCAAAGGGTACCAGCCCCTCAGCCTCTCACTTCATAGCACATTTCACAGAGCAAGAGACTAAGGTTCCATGGCAGGGGAGTGATAGAGTCCAGATGATGGCATTACCCCTGAAGCAGCTCCCCGAGCGCCAATGGGCCTGTCCACAAACTTGGGGGCAGGTATACAGTGTGGAAACTGAGGCACAGAGGTGCAGTGACTCACCCCAGGTCAAAGAGGGGATTCTAACCCAAAACTCCAACAAGGGGCCAGTGCCTGGGAAGTGCTCATGTCTGAGAGGAGACTGAGCAGGTGGTCAGAGGAAGAGCCAGGGACAGGTAGGGTGAACAAGAGCACAGGGTGCTGGACTAAGCTCCATTCCCAGCACAAATTCTGAGGCAAACAGCCTTTTGTCTGCAGACACACCAGAGCCTCCAAATACTCCCTGGTCTTGGGCAAGTCAAGGCTATCCAAAGGGCACTGGCTACCCACTCCCCCAGGCTGTTGTGACAATAGAAGTGGCTCCTCAGGGAGCACCAGGCCCTGGGCAAGCCTTCCTCAAACACAGGAGCAAAGTGCTCATCACCCCAACACCAAATTAGGGAACTCTGGACATTAGGCTGCCAGAGTGTCAAACTAAATAAACCAAACCCACCAGTACCAGGAACAAGTCTCGGCGCCCACTTTGCTGAGCTGCACACCTCTGCTTGGTGAATTAACTCCCTGGGCCGCCATTTCCCCATCTGTGAGAGGAAGCCAGCCTTCTGCCACCCTCCTGCCAGTTCCCTGGGGCTGCAGGCTGACAGTGTGACTGGGGCCAGCCCACCCCTCTCCCGGCCTCAGCTTCCTCCTGTGCAGAACCTAAGCCCGGCAACGCCTGAGACACCCAGGACCCTCAGGCCTAACCCTCAGAGGCAGTGGCCATGGGAAGTGAGCTTCTGGGATATCAGAGACGCAGAATTTCGGTTTGGTTCCGTTTCTTAAAGGGTTACACTTGAGAATCATTCGCCTGGCAAGGCCAGCATTCGAACCCTGGAGGCTTGGGCACAGGAAAGCTCTTCAAGCACATTCTTGAAATCAAACACTTAAAAGTAAAATAAAAAGCAGCCTCTCTTCCTTCCGGAGGCCTCTGAGCCTCGGAGACAGCCGCCCGATCCCAAGCCTGGCTACAGGGTGACCTCGGACAGCCACTCCCCTCTCGCAGGTTCAGTTTCTCCATCTGAAAAGTGGAGCTCCGGTGGTCACCAAGGAACCGTGAAGATGACACCTACCTCAGACGCAGAGAGGGCGACCGGCTCGCCCCTTCCGCCCCTTCCGCCCGCCAGGTGAGGCCGGTTTCGACTTCCCGCAGAGGGACGCTGAGGGGCCCGGAGCCCAGGGCATGGAGAGGCGTGGGCGGCTACAGTATCCGCAGGCACCCGGGACCAAACACAGGGACCAAGGCGCGGCGGCCACTCGGGAAGGGGCGCGCGGGCTGCTCTGTGTAGCCGCCTGGTTTGGAACAGCTAGCCACCAGGCTTCTGCTCCACTAGGGCGTTCGCTGGGCGGGCGGAGGGTAGGGGAGGTTCATCGCAGGGCGGATCGTGGCTGTGACCCCCACCCACGGCTGGGCGGCCCCCCAACCCCCTTCCCTCGGCTTTCCCATCTGTGAAATGGGCGCAGAGCCCCGCACGCGGCCACGTGGCCTCAGCCCTCACCTGCGCGGTTCCCTGGGGCAGACGTGGTGACCCCGGCCCGACCCCGGGGCCTCGTCCTGCCACGGAGGGTGGCGGCCGCCCCGCGCATCCTGGGCGCTCCGCGGTGCTTGGCCGGGCCTCCGGGGCAGTGAGCCCGGCTTGCGGGGGCGGGGCCTGGGCCAGGGGAGGGGCGGTACCGTGCATCTTACAGGCCACGCCCACATTTTGGACTGGGGCCAAGGGCCCAGGGGAGCTCAAACTCCTAGCGGCGTAGCTGTCGGAGCAAAAAGTGTCACTCCTCCGGGGCGTTGCACGCGCGGCTACCACTGCACAACACCCTTCCCTCCTCCTGCCCTGTTCTCACCTTCGCTCCTAATGTGGTTTTTCCATGTGCTTCTGTGTTTTTATTTTTTGAGCAAGATTTTGCCTTCTCAGGTGCCCGATTCGGCAGGTACCAAAAGGCAAAGAGCAAAACCCCTCCCCGTCTGCCCCTCCCACACCCCACTCACCCCCACTGTCCTATGTGGACCCATCCTTCCTTCCCTGTCTCTCGCTGGACCAGGCTTTCTGAGGCACTGTGAGGTGGGTGCCCTTGCTGTCTTCTGTTCTCACTGAGGGGCCCCCGGGTGGAAGAAACAGGATTCAAAGCCCTGGGGTCTGCCTGCAGGGCCCACACACACGTGGTGGCCTCCCTTTTGGCTTCCCCTTCCTACCCAGCTCCAGCTCTTTCTCTCCCTCTGACCCCACCCATCCCAGGCTTAGCCCCCTGCCCAGGCAGCCACCAAAGGGCAGGGTTTGGTCAGGCCTCAGACACCCTGGATCTTGGGCTGCCTGAGGGAGGCCTCCTGAGCCGTGCCCATCCCTGTGGAACCGGCAAACGCATTCCTGGCAGAGGGAATAGCAGGTGCAAAGGCCCTGGCTTGGCAATGTCTGACAGCAGAAGCCCAGAGCAGCTGGCTGAGGTATGCCTCCAGAAGTGCGGAGGGTGACCCAGATTGCTGGGCTGGCTCCAGAGGGCCTGGTGAGTAACCCTGAAGAGTGTGGATGTTCAGGTGCACCATGAAGTGGGGTTCCAGTAGGGCAGCCCCTCCCCACCTCTCTTTTCTGAGCCCTCCAAAGCCGAGGTTCAGTGTGAGGCATCAGGGGCCCTCCCCGCTTCCCCATCAGGGTTGGCTTCACCCCTGATACCTTGTTCCCACTTGGACTTATGGGTCACACATGATGGCTTTCTTCAGTCTCCTTTATTCAAAATCAAGCATGTGTGTTCCTTCTGCCATGTCAGGATGGGCAGGACCATCATCAGTGTCCACTCCAGACCACACTCTGGGACCCCAGAATTCCTTGCCAATTGGCCCCTAACCCACCTCTCAGGCCTGTGTGGCCCCCACTCTGGGTTTGCCCACAATGTACCACTGGGCAGAGGGTCACTGCCTATAGGTGCATGGACAGGGCTGGGAGGGAGGTCTAAGGCAGCCCTCCAATAGCTGGGTGGGGATGGAAAACATCAGGCTGCCTGTAGCTCCCTAAGCCACCTCACTGTGACCCAGGCCTTCAGGAGCCAAATGCAAAACACATGGCCATTTAGGAAGTGTGTTTCCTAGAGCTGTGTATCATAGTACCACAGACTGGGTGCCTGGGAACAACAGAAATTTATTGTCTTACGGTTCAGGCCAGAAGTCTGAGATCAGGGTGTCGGCAGGGCTGCAGTCCCTCCAAAAACTCCCGGAGAACAGCCTTCCTTTTCTCTGCAAGCTTCTGGCAGTTCCTTGGCCGGTGGCAGCTTAACTCCTGTCTATACACGATGCTCTGCCAGTGTCTCTCTGTGTTCAAATCTGTCTTTATAAGGACATAAGTCATATTAGATTAATGTCCACTCTACTGTCCTCATCTTAAGACCCTATGAAGAGTCTGTATCACGCCTGTAATCCCAGCACTTTGGGAGGCTGAGGTGGGTGGATCATGAGGTCAAGAGATCGAGACTATCCTGGTCAACATGGTGAAACCCTGTCTCTACTAAAAATACAAAAAATTAGCTGGGCATGGTGGCACGTGCCTGTAGTCCCAGCTACTCAGGAGGCTGAGGGAGGAAAATTGCCTGAGCCCAGGAGGCGGAGGTTGTGGTGAGCCGAGATCGCCCCATTGCACTCCAGCCTGGGTAACAAGAACGAAACTCCGTCTCAAAAAAAAAAAAATAGTCTGTAAAGACCTATAAAGACCTTGTCTCCAAATAAGGTCACATTTGGAGGTACTGAGGGTTGGGACTGAAACATATAGATTTTGGGGGACACAGTTCAGTCCCTGACGGGGGGAATCAAGGAGGACAGAATATGTTTTTCTGAGCAGTCTGTCACTTGGTTGGGTTGTGGACATTCAGGCCTGTGGCACTGGGCCTCCATTTGTACTGTTAGGGGACCTGGAGGTGGCCCAAGGACCTCAATCGTGTTGTTCCCACAGGGAACCGTATGCCTTGCGGTGGCTCAGAACACCCACTTGCTACCAAAAGGCCATCTTCAGGAGCTATGGGAGGGACCCGAGTCTGATTCTGGAGGTGGGCCTGTCACCTGTTTGAACCCTAATCAGAACCATCTTGTCCACCTTTTCCCAGCCCCTTGGAATGGTTTGCTCCTGAAAAGCCCAGCAATTCTAGCCACGTGTATGGGGGAAACTGAGGCATGTGGAAGGAGTGGCACTGGCCCACCAGGGACAACTGCCTGGGGTGCCCCCTTCCATGGTGGGAACCATGGCTCTCTAACAGGCTTCCCTGATCCCTGGGACAGGGGTGGGCACCCTTGCATTGAGTCTTAGTGTTCTCATCTGAGGGGCAGGCATGGTCTTGCCACCCTCCCAAGGCAAGTGAGAGATCGTGATGTGCTCAGGAAGGAGCAGTGGCCTCTGAGCTGGACTGCCAAGAGCCCGGCAGCATTTGAGCTTGGCCCGCCCACCCAGCTCTCCCAGTTACCTGGTTTTTCACACTCTCCAAGTCTAGGCCAAAACTGGGAGCAGTGCCTGGGCTTCGCCTGGGTTTTCCACACTCTCCAAGTCTAGGCCAAAACTGGGAGCAGTGCCTGGGCTTCGCCTGCCTGGGTGAAGAAGGCAAACTTCCTCAGCCTCCTCCTCCATGGAGCCCTCCCTGATGGCACTCCTTGGCAGAACCATTCTGTGCCACCTATCCTCAAGGCCTGTTTAGCCTGTGTCATGTCTGTGAAATGAAGAGGACATGTGGCCAGATGTGGTGGCTCATGCCTGTAATCCCAACACTTTGGGAGACCAAGGCAAGAGGATCACTTGAGGTCAGACATGCCTGTAATCCCAGCTACTTGGGAGGCCGAGGCATGAGAATTGCTTGAACCTAGGAGGCAGAAGTTGCAGTGAGCTGAGATTGCGCCACTGCACTCTAGCCTGGGTGACAGAAGGAGGCTCTGTCTCAAACAAAACAAAACAAAAAACATATGGCTACACTGACCTGAAGGAGGCAGGGGGCACTAGGAGGAACAGATAGGCTGCTGGCAAGGCAGGCCAAGAGAAGGAAGCAGAGGCAGACACAGCCTGAGGAACTGGCCAAAGCTGCAGCCTCTTCCCTGCTCCATTTGCAATTGGGAGCACACAGTGCACTGTCAGTGGATGCTTGCTAGATGGTTGAACTGGCAGGGAAGGAAACTGGGAGGCGGGGGAGGCCTGCCAGCCTTGGGGCTCAGTGTTAACACTGTAACAGGGGGGTCTCATGCACTGCCAGAGGTTTCCTGGGGAAGTTGAGAGTCTGGCTTGAGGGTTTCCTCTTCCCTCAGAGCTTAGCTGAGGTATTGCCTCCCCCAGGAAGCCTTCCTCAACCCCTGATCTGCCTGATCCAGGATCCATGGGCCATGGTGACCCGGGAGGCGACCAGTCATAAGTCTGTTGATAGTGGCAGAATTTTTGGCTTGGTGAGTTTCTCTAAAACTGGATAATAATTGTGGAAATCTAAAACATTTTTGTTTACTTTATTCTTTTTTTTTAGACAAAGTCTCCCTCTGTCACCAAGGCTGGAGTGCAGTGACATGATCTCAGCTCACTGCAACCTCCACCTCCTGGTTTCATGGAATTCTCCTGCCTCAGCCTCCTGAGTAGCTGGGATTACAGGCATGCACCACCATGCCTAGTTAATTTCTGTATTTTAGTAGAGACAGGATTTCACCATGTTGGTCAGGCTGAGGATCTCTGATTTCAGGTGAGCCACCCTCCTTGGCTTCCCAAAGTGCTGGAATTATAGGTGTGAGCCACTGCGCCTGGCCTGTGTTGCTTTATTCTTGATTTTACTTTTTACTCAATAGAAAAATGAGATTTTTGTTCTGAAAACCTCTCACAATGGGCCAAGTTCAGAAAGTCCCATTGCAAAATGATAAGAGTCAGCAAAGCATTGGTGGCCTCATGGGTGTCTCTTTTTAAAACTGTATTACCTTTTAAAAACTAAAAGGAATTTCAAAAAAGTAACCTGAGTTTGCAGCTTTAACAGGGCAGATGTTTGGGGAGAAAATAGTTTTCCCAAAAATGTTTTCTGCTGGGCCATCGGGGGCCCTCAACGCATACCACTCATCCTCCTAAAGCAAGGCAAGAACCCTGTCCCCACTGTGCAGAGCAACAAAGGCCCCTCCCCAGGAGTACTCTCCTGCTGGGGCCTGAGCTCTGACCATCAGACCGTCCTACCTGGCTGCATCCTGCACAAGCAGATGAGTCGGCTCAGGTGACATGACATTGAGCTGTCACCCTCAGGTTCAGAAATGATGACTCAGAGACACCAAGCAAAGTACCCAGAGGATAGAAGGAATGACAGGCTCATGGAACCAAGCACCCACTGTGTGCCAGGCCAGTTCAGAAGCTGGGACACAGCTGGGCCTAGGAGGGACTGGGTCTGGGCAGGGGCTGCCCCCCATCCTCATCCTGCACACCGAGGCCTTTACCTGGCCACCACCCAGCCAGCACATAGTGGGACATCTTTTTTCCCACCCCTCGACTCTTTTTGTACTTTCTGAATTTTCTACAATGAGCATGTATCTATTCTCTAATAAGAAACAAGGATTGGGCTGGGTGCAGTGGTTCAAGCCTGTAATCCCAGCACTTTGGGAGGCCGAGGCAGGTGGATCATGAGGTCAAGAGATTGAGACCATCCTGATCAACATGGTGAAACCCCATCTCTACTAAAAATACAAAAAATTAGCTGGGCATGGTGGCGCGTGCCTATAATCCCAGCTACTCAGGAGGCTGAGGCAGGAGAATTGCCTGAACCCAGGAGGCGGAGGTTGTGGTGAGCCGAGATCGCGCCATTGCACTCCAGCCTGGGTAACAAGAGCGAAACTCCATCTCAAAAAAAAAAAGGAAGAAGGATTGTAAATGCTTTGTAAATGTAAACTATTGCAAAATTTCCCATGACCGTTCTGATGTTCACTTGTTAGGAAAAATGTGGACTGACCTGGGTCCTCAGCTGCTAGGATTACACCGCATTACCATGCTCTAAGGAGTTACAACCAAGCATAGGATTTCAGGTGGGAGTTTATGCTTTCATTGGCCCTGGGGCTGTTCCCAGCTAAGCAGGCAGGTCAGGGGGTGCACAGGTGGGTCAAGGGCAGCCCAAAGCTTAATGCTCAAGGGCCAGTTAAGCTTCTTTAATGCCTGGCACCTGCACAGCGAGCAGCAAGGGCCCCCAAGTGCCTGGTCGCTGGAGAAGCATGGGAGGCTTGCCTCCTTCTTCCCCACAGGCTTCCTGCCACTTCCCCCAAGCCCCCGACAGACCAGTGGCTCCTCAGCCCTCACCAGTCCCCGGTCTCAGTGTGTTTCAGTTCTACCTCTTCACCAGCCCTCTGGTGGCCTCAGGTAAGCCCACACTCCTCCCTGGGGTCCAGTGTCTTTCCCCGCCTCCCCTTAAAAAGGGCTGACCAAGAGGATCCTGACTGCCTGGAGTGGGGGCAGTGTATCTGGCAGCCATGCTGCTGAAGCTGAGTCTCTGCTCCAGCCGTTCAGGTTCCCTGGCCTACCACCTGTCTTATACCTTTGAAGGAGGCATTCCTGGCTGCCCCCAATCCAGGGGCAGGGGTCACATTTGGATATGACCCCTGGGTGACCTCTCAGTGGCCTATAAGGCTGGCTGAGGCTCATCCGTACAGAGACATCAGAGACTCAGCCTTGGGACGCTGCTTGGAAGTCTCTTGTTTTACAGATGGGGAGACTGAGGCCTGCGGTGAGGGGGAGTCTTCCTGCAAATGAGGCTTTGGAGACTGTCTGGGGTCAGCCTGTGGGACCTGGGCATACGACTTGGGCTTTCTATGCCTCAGTTTCCTCCCACTCCCCACACAAACTGGGCATGCTAGGACTCCTGTCCTTGATAGATGGAGCTTTGCTGCCATCTCTGGAGGAAGTGGAGAGTGGGAAGGGCTGCTCTTGGCTCCCTGTCTACACTCACCTCCCTCTGCCTGCACCGGCAGCTCCACTTTTCTTTTCTTTTTTTTTTTTTTCCTGAGATGGAGTCTTGCTCTGTTGCAGAGGCTGCAGTGGCACGATCTTGGTTCACTGCAACCTCCGCCTCCCAGGTTCAAGTGATTCTTCTGCCTCAGCCTCCCTAGCAGCTGGGACTACAGGCATGTACCACCATGCCCAGGTAAGTTTTATATTTTCAGTAGAGACAGGGTTTCACGGTGTTAGCCAGGATGGTCTTGATCTCCTGACCTCATGATCCACCCACCTCGACCTCCCAAAGTGCTGGGATTACAGGTGTGAGCCACCACGTCCTGCGGACTTTTCATTTTTCCCATTGTTTTGTGATAAAACACAGGCACACAAATATACAGACGGTGGCTCGAGGGCACTAAGTATGATCATGCCTTTCAGGTGCAAATCAACCAACCCACATCCTACACCCACTTCCTCGGGACTCACACTCTGGGCTGCCAATCTCTGTACTCCTCACCCCGGCGTAGGTACCAGATAATCATCGAGAGCCTCTGTGCCGCAGAGCCCACTGAAATGATTAACACCAGCCAGTCCTCGGCCTGCTTAGCCTGCCTTGCCCACGCCTTTCTCCAAAACCCCAGTAAAGCCACCGGCCCCAGTTCCCCCATTCTCCCTACCTCCCGACCAACCCTGGTGCTTCCCTGTTCACTTCCCTGAACACTCTTCCCCTGGGGAGCTGTGATACCAATCTATCTTCTCAATGCTAGTTGTCCGCTGATCTGTTGGCCTCCCCATACCTGAATAATAATAAAGCTGGAATCATTTTCAAACAGGTCTAAAACCCCTCTGCTCATGCAGGATAGGCCAGAAGTGAGGTGGGAATGAATGAATGGTCTCAAGAGCGGCCCTCAGCCAGTGTCTCTCAGTGTTTCCCAGGCATTGGAGGGTAAATGTCCAGCTGGATGGTACCGGGGTGACTGTCTACCCTGTGAGAAGCCAGAATTGAGCCAGGATTCACAGCTCCTGTTGAACATAAACAATCTCACAGGGTATCAGTATCAGACAAGGCCACTTTAACATCTTGTTGTGGCACAGAAAAAACAAAGTCACAGGCCAAGTGTGGTGGCTCATGGTATATTCCCAGCACTTTGGGAGGCCAGTGCAGGTGGATCAACTTGAGCCCAGGAGTTCGAGATCAGCTTGGCCAACATGCCAAAACCCTGTCTCTACTCAAAAATACAAAAATTAGGTTGGGTGCAGTGGCTCATGCCTATAATCCCAGTACTTTGGGAGGCTGAGGTGGGCAGATCACAAGGTCAGGAGATTGAAACCATCCTGGCCAACACAGTGAAACCCCATCTCTACTAAAAATACAAAAAAATTAGTGGGGCATGGTGGCACATGCCTGTAGTCCCAGCTACTCGGGAGGCTGAGGCAGGAGAATTGCTTAAACACGAGAGGCAGAGATTGCAGTGAGCCGAGATCATACCACTGCACTCCAGCGTGGGTGACAGTGTGAGACTCCCTCTCAAAAAAAACAAAAACAAAAATTAGCTGGGCATGGTGGTGGAGACCTGTACTCTCAGCTACTCCAGAGGCTGAGGCAGGAGAATCACTTGAACCTGGGAGGCAGAGGTTGCAGTGAGCCAAGATTGTGCCATTG